TATATATGTATATATAATGAAAGCTTGAAGATATCTGCTCACTGAAACGGTTCACTGCACACCTTAACACAGTAAATGAGTCAAAACGGGACCCCATTTTCTCACAAAATCGACTATATAATTTGAATAGTCTCGTTTGGCAATCTGGGGCGATCGGATTATAAAAATAGATGTTTCAAGCTTAATAATCATTTATATATTCTTACAATTAATGCAAAATTGAGTGATCACTTTCCTTTCAAAGTTGACTACCTCTTATGCTTTTGCATAGGGAAAAGGTTAAAATTAGAGTGTTTTTGGTATACTTCCTGCTTCTTCAGAGTACCACAACTCTGCAACCCGGGTTGCTAAACTTCTGGGTGAACGGTCAATTGTAGCTCATAAATTAAGCTTTCTTCCCATTGTAAGTCCCATGCTGGTTGCTTATAATAACCATTGATCATTTTTTCTTTAAAATTTTGTATTGTGTGTGTGTGTGTGTGTGTGTGTATGTGTGTTTGTGTTTTCTGCCAAACGAATTGTGTTTTTCCTTGACGGGGATAGGGAACGGCTCATATTGACAGGAAGTCGGACAAGAAATAGTTATTTGCCCTCCGAATAAGTACTTTGATTGCCAATTTCTAAATGCATACGGTAATTATAAGTCAATGAGCCATAAAATCTCCACCAGGGATTTTATTCAGTGCCTTGCATGGCTCGTTTCTGTCGGAAGATTTCTAGGGTCACTGGTTATGGGCTTGTTTTGGGAACTATTTGTTCCCAAAAACAAAACAAAAAACTTTTAAATGCGAAAGCTATTTTGCCTATGGTAGCCATGGGAATGTGATTAAAATAGCGTTACTTGGCGGAAGAAACGTTTACTCCTGATGACCAAGCACCAATTCAGGACATTTGTAACTATGTTTTACTGTTTAGTCGATTAGTACTAAACAGGGCATCAAGAGAGGGCGCGCGTTACTATTGATTAGCAACCTCGCCATGACAACCGAATGCAATGCAGGATTATTTACAATGAAACTAACCAAACGAGAGCGAGCAGAAAAGAAGATTACTAAACAAGATAACACAATCGAATGGTGGGCCAGTCGGCAAAGTGAACGGGACAAGACAAGCCAGATACTCTAGCGTGTTACATCAATTAACTTAAGTTTCAATTTGAAGTTAATTAACTTTACTCGTCAAAACTTTTGAACAGAAGATACATTGTGATTTAATACCTATTTTTTGTGATTTAGTCTTCTATAAATAGCGAACCACGTCAGTATAATACTAGACCATAAAGATATTATGGGTTGCAATACTTCCAAGGTAGCTGTACAACCACATTCTAGCGATGCCTGGTCTAACAAGCCCCCGTCCGCATCCAAGAAGGGCCGTCCAAACTCAAATTTAGTCCGTGTTAAGCCTAAAACGAAAGCCGATGCTGATGTTACTCAAGACAAGATACCTCAAACCGAGATCATTATGCGTAAAGACAGTATACGGTCTAAGGGCTCTATGCATGACAACACGACGGGTAACAACAGAGGTATATCGTCTGCAACCAGCAAAATGTCCACCCACACGTCCGACAGCGGACTTGAAGCCGACTACGCTCATGTAATCACAGAAAATTGCGACCCACATCTTATAAATGCAGTTGAAGAAGACAACAGGCCACCCACACCAGGTAAGAATTACAAGTCTACAAAGAGTACAATATTTTAGAATTAACACACATATAAATGTATTGTAAAGTTAATAGGCCTATATGACAATAATGATAAAAATAATTGTTATTATTAAAAATAATGATGATAATAACAGTAAAATTAATTATAGAAATAATAATAATAATAATTATTATTATTATTATTATTATTATTATAAACATTATTATTATTATTATTAACATTATTATTATTATTATTATTATTATTATTATTATTATTATTAACATTATCATTATTATTATTATATAAACTTGCGGTAAGTACATAGAGGTATATAATTGTTATTTGACAGTATATTTTCATTATACTTGTTATTCTACATAAAACCAGCATTGGCCACTGTTATAATCAGTATATAAATGTACGTTCATAGGCGTTTTTATCTCTAGATTAGTGAAAAATTGTAGAAAAAATGTATGACAATTCGGGAATACCCCAAGAAAATGTATGAAATAGATCTATTGTGCTTTTCGGATCGCCTCACTGCCGTCATACAAACAACTGGTTGGGATTTACTAGCAACCTATTCAAACGAATCATGTTTACCGTCACCAAGGCTCTATTTATCTGGTGTTAAGAGAAAACAATAGATGATGCAGTGGAATGAGATTGAAAGCCATTCACCGGGCAAAGACCAACGCCGTTAGGTCATTTTGATGAAATAATGCAGATAGCGGCATACCCTGCATATTTGTGTTACCCCTCATAAGTGGTCTATATCAGGTTTCGGCTAAAATGTTAAATCCTGGAGTGTGGTATAAGCTTCAAGCTAATTATTATTATTATTATTATTATTATTATTATTATTATTATTATTATTATTATTATTATTGTTATTGTTATTGTTATTGTTATCGTTATCGTTATCGGTATCGTTATCGTTATCGTTATCGTTATTGTTATTGTTATTATTCATTTACACTTTACAGGATGTTCAGTTATTAAAATAGGGTGTGGGTGTAAATCTAGGGTACAACTGTATTTTGGAAATCATTACTGTAGTGTTATGCAGTTTATAAACTCTTAAAAAGATTTTTAATAATGTTGAGGGATGAGTTAAATCAAAAGAAATCATAGGCCAACTAACCTATCAGCATTTTCAGAAAACACCATCGGGAAGTGTTAGGTACCGTATATGGAAGTAGGCATAGCCTACTATGAAAATAATCCTGACCGCCTACTGTTTACCTCCCAAGAAGAAATTTTACGTATTAATTGGATATATAAAATATTAATGACGAAGAAAATGTTACCCCACGCTAAGTCGCATATATAATATTGGCATAAATTATAAAAAGAAAAAAGAAGAAAAAAAAAAACCCCAAAAAACCTGAGATTATTATTATGATACTGCCGTTGCAACAATCTATCAAATAATAAGAAACTAAAAGGAAGTTGACTATTTTTAGATTTGTACTTGCATAAGTTTATGGTGAGCATAATAACATACTATTCGTATGGCATTCGCTAAGGGCGTCGACAAAAGTAACTTTTGTGTATCTGACAGTTGTTAAAGTGTTGTAAACAGCGGCTGTCAATAATACATGATCGTAATTTAAACTATTCATTTTTGTTAATGACATACGCCATTTCTGGCCTCGACAAATAACATACAAAAACAATGTACGTCAGTTAGGCCTACATGTCAAAACCAAGAGCTTAGGCCTAATTGAGATTATTGTGTCCTGTGTCACAGTTTTACCGCGTTAATCGAATGCATTTCCGTCGACTTCATTGTTAAGGATCATCTATCTGCCTGTCATAGGCTTCAATCGCAATGTATATATAAAATAATTTAGAAGTCGTGTATCAATTTAACATGTTTTTTTAAGTATCTGTATTAGATCTGTACATGTTTCTTAGGCCTAGTTGTTGTTGTCATAATCATTATTAGGCCTGTGACATGATCATCATTGTGATTATGAGTAATGACGAACATCGTAATCATTATCAACATTATCATTATCGTGATTAACATGATTATTAGCACAATCATTATCACCATCGCCACCATTATCATCAGTCATATATCTGTCTCTTATACACATCTAGATGTGTATAAGAGACAGGTATATATATATTGAGCAACATATTTTATATGATTTACACTATAGTATATATTTTTCCCCTGTCTACAGAATTAGTTGTCAGTGGTAAACAAATCGAATCGAGAAAGCGCAGTGGTGGTAAGAATCGGCGGGCGCAGGAAAGTGCAGATATTCTTGCCGAACTTCAGAGCCAAGGGATTGTCACTAGACCAGCATCACGTCTTGGGAATGGAATGGCATTCGAAATTTCATTAGATCCTAATAATGAATTCCTAAAGGCACAGCGACCACCTCCTAGGCTGGCTAAATTGAAAAAGAGGAAGAAGAAGTCAAAGAAAACAAAGGAAGAAATCGATGCTAAAATAAAGGCTGCGGAGGAGCGACGAAAGGTAGGCTTCATCTTAATTACCTGTTCTTAATTAACTGTAACATAATTGTGGCTAAGACAAGGCAAACCAGTCACTCCTCGCCAAAAATCGATGTTAAGTTATTACTACGGGTTTAAGAACTAAAATGAAACTTATAAAATGTAGTTCAGACCAATAAAATAGGATTTTAAAATTTTAACATTCCAGCATGTTTTAGCAGTTGCCGATCTTGCGAGGAGTGACTGGTTTAGCTTGTCTTCACCACAGTTTTGAAGGATATAAAAAAATAGTTAATAGATTTTGGTTTAACTTATCATTGTGATATTGCCTACTTTTGTTATCAACTAAATCCGGAGTTAGAAATACAGGCCTATTATAATAAACCTGTATTGATTACGTTAAAACAAAAATGATATCGTATTTAAATGTAACCCAGCTGGTATTCAGTTTCTCCTTAAGGAAATTAAAACAATCCCGCAAGATTTATACAAAACCATTACGTACATGAATCGAATAATAAATAGGTCTTTCTACTAGTGATTGACTGTCGTAGGGTACGCAGCTGCACGTAAACCTTGACAATGACGCAAGCAAGCCATATGCAACAGCTTTACCTTAAAAATAATATTTTTACAAACGTCTTGTTTTCATAAACGAAATTTCTTCAGCTTTCAATATCTCTGCAGTCAGCATAATGTAAATATTATTGTCTCTTACAATCGTTCAAAAGTACATCAAGATTGTTTAAATGTAATTTAATCATTTCAATTTCTCTTCACAGAAAAAGGAGTCTGAGATGATCGAACGGTTGAACACAAGTAAAAAGGAAATGCAAGTGCAAACCACTTTGGATGAATCTGAACGATCTCAAAAGAAACATGTTGAAATTAAAATGAGTAACGCATTGGACAAGGCAGCAGAAAACAGAAAAGCCAAGATGGAGGCATTGAAGGAGAGATTGAAAGAGAAACAGCGACACGCTGAGAAGGTTCGACTGGCTAAACTTGAACGAATGAAAGAGGACAGTAACGAAACAGAGCCTACCTCTGAGGTTTGAAAACGCTAAGCAAGTTGATGCGAAATCGATTATGTTGCTAATGACGTTTTTGTTACATCAAAATCATCTGTTGCAATATCAAACGGTATCCTCAAATTAATTAGCAAACACCTGCAGTATTATAAATGATGGTCACGACAGAGGTAACAAATTACCCTTTACCCTGGTGCTAAAGAAGATAACCAATCATGAAAATGCTCTTAGCAACGTTTTCATGTGTAATATCTGTAACAGTCTTGCTAAAGTAACCACTAAAATGGTTAGAATACGGGAAAGATAACCTAAAAATGTCATCAGTGTTTGGTCCTAGGCCTATTTTTAGAAAGGAAGTCAATGACGGTATCTCGTTCTCGAATATCTATGGTGCTGATTGGTGATGAATGCCTGTTGCTAATTGAGTGGATTCAGCACTAATTTTCTAATTAGGACTAGTTTAATTATTTATGTAAAGGAATTTAACTATGTTCATTCGCCGAATGAATGTAAAAAAATCAGTTCTTCCGAAAATGTAAACCAATCAACTTCCATAGAACATACTTTCCCATTATTCAACACCGCCATCAATATTACTATGCCCACCTAGGTTGAGGAAATGTGCGCTTCCCTTAAGATAAGGTGGTGAAAGATATAAATAAATATTTTGTGCTAATGAATGCATTAGTCTAGCTAGTATATTTAATTGAATTGAATGTAAGTTTCAGATATCGGGCTGGTTCCCGATTGAATATCAAATATTGCGCCGGATACGCAAACGTGTTGATGGGGTGGTGCGTTTGTTGATTACTACACTGTGCCACCGATTACTACCAATCTGTTTAATATCTTCTTTGATAAATTCTGATTGAAATTGTATAGTGACATTTTATATTTAAAATCATATTTTCAAAAGTGTATACCTTTTTGTCTTTAATGTTATTGATTTAAAAAGAAGAAAATGTCCATGATTTTAATTTTTTTATGCAAAAAGTTTTTTGTATCCCAAGCACAGTAACACTTGCAAGTCAGTTTGTGTTTTGTTTTTTGTTTTTTACTTTATTTGTCCACATTCTGTCTACATCACTCATCCTGTATATTTGGCTGGTAATATGTAAATTTTTAGCTAAATTTTAATGTATCAAATTCATTAAAACTTAAAAATTTATATTTTCCAAACATTAGCCGATAAGATAGAGCACTTCCATCAGAATGATACGTATTTTCCAGATTTTGGGTTAAAGAATCTTGAGCAACGCAAAATAATAATGCATGTCTGGATGTATTTTGTATGTTTTAAACGGTGCTCTTTCTATCAAAATTGCTGAGAGGGCTACACTATATAAATTAAGGATTTTTCTTTTTTTAATTTGTGTCGTATTTTGGTGTGAACACATTTACTATGTCAGAGATGGAATGAATAAAATACAAACATTTTAAAATTATCTTTTTAATATTTGTAATGTCTTATATGCGGAATTATTGAATAATAAAATTGAAGCGATTGCATGATGCTGTTAATAAACGCTATTTATTCAGGGGCGGATCCAGCCCGGTAAGAAAGAGGGGGCATGAATGTCCGAACTAAGTGACAGTCTCAGAAAAGAGCCCCTGGAAGGGGTACAGGGGGAGATTCTCCCTTAAACCTCTGGCACCTTCATTAATTTGAGTTGATATTTGATTGATTTTTAATATTTAGCATTGTAATTTTGTGATAAGCTTTACAAAAACATTTTTTTACAAAAAAAATAGAGTGGACGTACGCCCCTTACGCCCCCCTCTAAATCCGCCACTGTTATTGTACAACTAATATTTTTTAGACACTAAAAGGGTGTTTGACGAACTATGGAAAAAGTAATAAGATACAGATTTTCAAATTTTTAAAAACTTGGGGTAAAGGGCCGTAACCACCCATTTCCCTCCAGTTTTTAATAACGTTCTCGTGTATTTTTGTAAAACACTTTTTAACAGTTTTTAGACAGATTGCATGACAAATAATAACATATCAAGTTTGTTTTCTTTGGAGACTGGCTTTAAAGTTTTGCATGGCGAGTAATCATTATGTAAAAAATAAGTCGAAAACTAAAGTTTTTCGCTGGTGTTCAGGCTGCATAATGAGTGTGTTTACCTTCTGCAAATTCAAAACTGAGTCATGACCAAAGGCGTGGTCATTGGATGTCATTGGCAAATCTGGAATATTGCCAATTAGTGTCAATCCAAATAAAATTATAAATTGCCCGGTTTACCTTGATCTCATCTGGTACCGATAATACAGTTGCAATATTAATTCATATATATATATATATATATATATGAATTAATTGATACGATAATACAGTTGTAATATATATATATATATATAATTAGTAATTAGATCCGAATTTCGAGGTTTCTTTTCTTTCCAGCTTGAGAGCGCCTGAGCAAAATACAGTTGTATCGTCGCTAGCTGTGTAATTTTAACTTCTGTTTCCATGATATAAATTGTTAACCCATTCACGAGATATCGCAAAATTATTTTTTATGAAACCTCAAGAACATGAACGTTTCGAAGTAGTTATCTAATCAAAGAAGCGAATTACTATACTCCCGACTTGAAAAAAAAGTGGCTCTGATGATTACAAGACATGCGTCCTGGTGTCTATAAACTTGCTGTAAAATGTAAATTCAGTATACCGAAAAGTTAACGCGCTGAATGCGTGGACAAGTAGCTCCTTTAATAACTTGCTTTACCTTTGTCCTTTAGACACTTGTCTACTACCCTGTAAATAGTTGCCAGCTACTCTCGCCTGTCTATCACATGGGCTGTCTGAACTTTTACCGGACCGGGGTAGTCCCTGCTTGTCTCGAACAATTTAGGCCTACTAGGTTTTTTAAAGTCACTAAGTTCGATTCGAACTTACGCAGTGCGCCTGTCGTAACCACCGGACTATGATCCACCAACTTTCTTAAGCTTTGTCTACACTATCAAATTTCATCGAAAAAATCATCACATAAAAATAATTTGATGGAACATAAAGTGAACACATTCAACTGATTTTGATAGAATTTGATATGTGATATGACGCCATCATACTCATATATGGGCACATCACATTTTTTGTCACATAAAGTTTGATTAGACAAGTTAGCAATTGACAATGCTAGACAGAGTAAAGTTAATGTTACATAGCCAGATTAGTGGTTTAGGTACGGCCAACACATTTTAGACCCATTCAAAGATTCATATTTATCTATTAATTTTAACTTGTAATTATATCGACCTATGTAATGAATATTATAAATTCTATTGTTTAGTATCGTTACGTAGGTTCACATTTTACGCACATTGACACGTGACTGAGACACATGCTACTGGTTGGCCACAGAAAGTCATTGACGTTACCGACAAAGAAAGAACTTCCGCTTATTTTTCAAGCGCAAACACCTGTTTTAATACTTACCGCAATTATTTAATTGATTTGGGCAACTATCATTGTAAAATGACAATAGTGATGGTAAAAATAGTAAAATGGTAACAACAGATGAGTTGAAGACGACAACTACGGATATAGGGCCACCGTCGTGACAAGCTCTCCAACAGATTCTAAGTTAGACACATTTTCATGTGTGAAACTTTTGAAAAATACTTTATATATAGGGCCTAATAAAAAATATAATAATAGTGAGGAAAGTTTTCGGAATTTCATTGATGCTTATCAACATATAAATTTTATATAAACATGAGATACCATTTCATGGGAAACTATATAAAAATGGGTTGGGCCACTTTGAAAATTGGTTTGAGTTGGCTTTGTTATGATTTGTTAGTTTTGAGTCGGATTATCTGCCTTGATTTGTGCTGAAGAATATTAAGAAAGCTGAAAAAGCCCAGATAGTAGGCATATACCTATATTTTTTAATATAGGAAATACATGTATGAGTACGGTAAGATTTTAGTCGTTAAGCTTGGGACCTGTCTATTCGACCTCAGGAAGGAATTAAAATCAACCTGGATTTTTTGTAACCTTTTTTTTGCTATAATATTGAATAAAATATGATGAAATATAAGAATTACAGTTTGATAGTGACAGTGTTTGCCTTACAATATACGCTCAATGTTCTGAAAAACAGCAAATATCATAAAATATGTCATGAGCTATCATATCGTCCTGCTTCAGGCCTATTTTTAGATAATTTGTACACCATAGTGCCATTCATTATATTGTAGGTTTTAAAGTCTTGCAATTTTGACACACTGTACAACATTA